AAGTTCGCCGTCGCGGAGAACGACACGCTGCGGCACGCGGCCGGCCCAACTTACATCGAGTCCCGTGACCTCTGGGGCTTCAAGAGCAACGCGGAGGTGCGCGAGGTCACCAAGGTCACGCCGTTCATCAACCACTGGAAGGAGCGGCGCATCCAGTACTTCGCGCACGTGTCGCGGGGCTCCGCGCCGGCCCACACCACCGCGGCCGCCAACCTCTCGAGGATTCCGCCCGGGACTCGCCCCGCGGGGACCAGCACCAAGGCGTCCTGGCGGTACGTCCAGAGGGTGCGTCAAGATGTCGAGCGCATTCTACCACGCGACGTGCCGATGGAGGACGTCCTGCACGACCGCGACGCGGTCGCAGCCGCGAAGAGGAGGTTCCGCGACTTCGCCTGCCCCCATGCGACGAAGCAGGAAGCGAAACGTCGGCGTGACGCAGCGCGGATCGAACGGCGTCTGGAGGAACGGGCGCAGGCGGAGCTGGCACTTCGGGAGCTGGAGGAGCTGGAGGACGACCCCGCCATGTAACGGTATGTCCCTATTCTTGCTCGGCAGGTCTTTGCATCTGGGAAGTGGTCTCGTAGGGGTTGGGCATCGTTACAGGCGCGGGGTGAAATTTTCCCGGCAGCACGGCGATTGGGTGGGTAGGCGGTCGGTTGTCTTGGGTGCAGTGGTCCTCTCTGTCGGCACGGTCGCAGTTCACACCTTCCTCAAGACAGGAGCACGTAGTCGCACGAAGAAGGGGGCAGGGCAAAGAACACAATTCTCAGTCACCAGGAATTGGACCAAGAGGACGCCGATGATCCCCGAGATAAGGGGACGAAGCAGGGGGGCACTGGAACCGGTTGTGCTTGTAGCGGCTGTTCCGGGGTGGAGGCCTGCGTAACCCCCTCGGGGGGGATGTACTCCTTCACCCTGACTGGCCATACTGCGAGTGGGAGTCGTAGCCGTTGGTGGTTCTTCTCCCCCGGGGAAAAAGTGTCACCTTAGTAAGGACGGCCATGTCTCGTTTTGCAGTGCAGGCGGGCATGTGTCGGGCCCGAAATGGCATACGATCATGTGTGGTCTAGCCCTTAATGGTAATGGTAATGGTCCCTGGATAGGCAGACCCGCCACACGGTGGTGTGCGAAGGGTTGCCTACCCTCAACTCGGCAGGCGCTCCAGCCGCGCGTCATTGTCTCCAGCTCTGAGTCCCGGTGCACGGCGCGGTGCACGGCATGGCCATGAGGAGCCCCGCTGCATCCTGGCGCACACCATGGTCGTTGGCAGTGAGGTGCACCCGGAACAGAGCACGCCGTCGGCGAGGCGGCCGTCATGGCCTCGGTAGGGAGCAGAGTCCCGGTACGCGCCGTCGGCGAGGTGCTCTGCAGCACGCCGGGGCCCTCGGCGCCCCGCCAAGGCCGTCAACACACCACCGCGGCACAGCGCCGCGCGGCCGCGCGCCCACCATGGTCGTTGCCAGCGAGGTGCACCCGGAACAGAGCACGCCGTCGGCGTGGCGGCCGCGGCAGGGTGTCCTGAGCAGAGTCCTGGTGCTCACCGCTGGCACACTGCAGCACGCCGGGGCCCACGGTGCCCACGCCAAGGCCGCCAACTCGGCACCGCGGCACAGCGCCGCGCGGCCGCGCGCCGTGCAAAATGACTGCGCGCTTGTCATGCATGCACTTTTATTGCAATGAGTCGCACCAGTGGTGCCCTCTCAGCTATTTGGTGGTCAAATTCGGTACTTGATCTGCACATGCGCAATGTGGCGCGGCAATGCGCTGCAGCGCCACGCGCGCCGCCTCGTGGCCGAAACGTGAACTTCTCGCTCCTGATAAAAAGCAAGCCGATTTCCTGAGCGGCACAGTCACCCGAGTTCGCTCCAAGCAACCAGTCCTCCTAAACTATTTTCCCTCTGTCTCTTCAAGACTTAAAACTTGTACTTAGCCTAAAAAATGGCTCTTAATGAGATACTTGATGAGTATGAAGCCGGATGCTTCTATAATGATGAATTGTTGGCCGAAGGGTACTCAACACTCATAGAGTGCCTTCGCACGGCCACTCCTGCGGAACGCAGTGACCCCCGACTGCCTGCATTTCTCAAGGCGGGTTACATGGCTCTCCTCCGGGAAAAATCAAAGTCAAACAAGCTAGATGCTCAAATCCATCAAATCGCACTTAAATTGGCCCGCCCTGCCCCTTCTAGTCCTACCCCGCCCACCGCGGCGTGGACATGGTCGGTGGCTCCAAACCCACCCCGGCCCGTCCCGCCTCACCGTCGCTTGACCCCGCGGAGTCCCCGCGCCCCCCCGCCACGCCGCCCGGTATGCCCACCCGGAAACGCGCCCGCTCGCCGGAGCCCGCGCCGGAACCGGAACCCGAACCCGAACCGGAGCCCGAACCGGAAATCGAGATCCTACAAACGCGGGAACGGCATCTGAGCCGATTTAAAACCACATTTCGCGAGGAAACGGCAGTCATAAAAAATCTGGGAAACGAACTACCCTCTGAACAACTCATGGAGGGAATGTTCGATACATTGCTTGCCCGTCAGAGGGAAGCCCTGAATGCTAAAGATGACGACCGAGTCATCCTGGAATTGGAGAGCGGTGAAAATGTAGACAAGCCCATTTGGCTGTCGCTGAGGCGAGTGGACCAACTGAATGGCAGAGTCATTCTTGACAAACTAACAAGGGTGCTCAATAGCAATGAAAGTTTTCTTACTAATGGGCAGTTGAGGGTAAATTACATTCATGTCCCCACTCCTGAGGCAGGCGGCGCACGCGATGTCGTTGTCCCCAATGAGAGAATAGACCAGTGGTTGGAGAGAAAAATAGCCAGAAAAACAATTTTTTCTCCCAGCAACACGGAGGATCAGATGTGTTTAGCGCGAAGCATCGCCGTAGCTAAAGCCAAAGAAGGCATGCAGCAAAGAGCATTCTCCCGCATGAGGCAGCCTAACTCGATCATCCAAAAGAAAGAGGCTCTGAAAATTTGTGAATTGGCGGGTATTGACTCGAATCAGCCATGTGGGCTAGACGAGGTCAGGAAAGTTCAAGATGCCCTTCCCAACTACAGGCTCTGTGTTTTCACAGATAAAAAAGGAAAAGAGTGCATCTTTAAGGGAGAGTACACTGTTAGTAGAAAAAATATCTATCTACTTTTGCATAGTGGCCACTTCCACGCCATTCTGTACCCCCTCCAAGCTTTCGATTCAGACTATGTATGTGAAAAATGTGTTGTCTTTTATAAACACAAAGGAGAGCATCAATGTGAGGGTAGTTGCTGGCGGTGCCTCGGCGCGCAGCCTCACTCTGAGCCCCTTCAGCGCTGCGGTGATTGTGGTCATAAATTTGCTGGAGATGAATGTTTCGACAACCATAAAAGTCTTAAAATTCAAAACACAGACAGGACCAAATGTGACACATTCAAATTCTGTCATGGATGTGAAACTAGTTATTCTAACGCTAGGGGCCGCCAACATGTCTGTGGCTTTGTGTATTGTAAATTCTGTAAACTTAACGTTGCTGAGAACCACCTCTGTTACATGCAAAAATGGCAGCCACGTGAAAAAAAGGAGAAATATAATTTTTGCACAGTATGGTATGACACAGAGGCATCTCAACATACTGAAATAAAACCGGGAGTATTTGAACACCGCCCCGTGCTCCTTGTCTCACAGGCTGTCTGTGACGAGTGTCAACACATTCAGCAAAATGATTATTTCTGCACAGTGTGCGGGACACGACAGCAAGTCTTCCATAACCTTGATGACCCTAATATTAATGTCATGTCCCAATTTGTAAATTATCTTCAGTCATTCCCAGCCAAGACTGAACTTCTCATCATTGCGCATAATGCCAAAGCTTATGATGGCATTTTTGTTCTTCAAGAGCTGATTGCTCGAAAAATGAAACCCGATCTGATTTTGCAAGGGGCTAAAATTATTTCCATGTCTCTAAATTCATGGAAATTTATTGACAGTCTGATGTTTATCTCCATGCCCCTTTCCGCTATGCCCAAAGCATTTGGGCTCACTGAACTGAAAAAGGGTTATTTTCCATACTTTGCTATTCACCCAGACAATTTCTCATACAAGGGTCCTTTATTGAACCGTGAACTTTACGGTGTGTCAGGAATGAAGTCACAGGCAGCCATAACCTTCAATAAATGGTATGATGAGCAAAATGAGCAGGGAGTAATATTCAATTTCCGTGAGGAGCTCATCTCCTATTGCATTTCTGACGTGACCATCCTTCGTCAATCTTGTCAAGCCTTCAGAAAACTGTTTGCAGAGACTGCAGGTTTTGATCCTCTTTTTCAAAATTTGACGCTTTCGGCCGCATGTCTTTCTGCTTATCGTCTTAATTTCATGCCGGAAAACAAGATAGGACTTGTCCCCCCTGGAGGCTATCATGGCAGGGGTAAGCAAAGCCACGTCGCATTGCTGTGGTTAGATTATGAGCAGCACAAATTAGGTCAAAAAATTAAGACCATTTACACTGATAGAGAGGTTATGGTGCTAGGTCGCTCTGTGGATGGTTATGTGGAGATCCCCCTTGCTAATGACGGTGTTGAGCGCCGCATTTACCAATTTCATGGTGACTATTGGCATTCCTGCCCCAGGCATTACCCTGCTCAGCCTGAGGGTGGAGAAAACCGCTATGAACGCACTCTGCGTATCACTGGTCTGTTCCGTAAGGCAGGTTATGTCGTCATTGAGAAATGGGAATGTGAATGGAAAGAGGACCTCAAAAACCCAGAGGTAGAAGCCTATTTTGAAGCCCACCCCACCACCCGCATGCCTCCCCTTGATTTGCGCAAGGCGCTCTGCGGCGGTCGCACCAGCGCGCTCCGTATGTATCACAAGGCAGACCTTGACAAGGGAGAGAAGATAATGATGGCAGATATTATATCAAGTTACCCGAATGTGAATTTGAGGGCTTGCTACCCTCTTGGTCAACCATCTATTTATCTGGAGGGTGACCCAAATATTCCTGCCATTGACGCTTGGAATGGAGTAATTAAATGTACAGTGCTCCCTCCCCGAGATCTGTACCTTCCAGTGCTTCCCTTTTAGTGTAAAGGAAAACTGATGTTCCCACTCTGTGCGACGTGTGCTGAGACAGAAAGCAGTGAAATTTGTCAACATAACCCTACTGATAGGCAACTTACTGGAGAATGGTGTGCACCAGAACTGCAGTTAGCCATTCTGCACAAAGGTTACACTTTAATTACTATTCATGAGTTGTGGCAGTACTCATCCACTATGCAATATGATCCCAAAACGGGAAAAGACGGCTTGTTCTCAGGTTATGTCAGGAAATTTATGGCACTGAAAATTCAGGCCAGTGGATGGCCAACAGAGTGCGACACTCAACAGAAAAAAGAGGAATATTTGTCTGATGTTAAGAAGCATGATGGTATTGATATTGACCCCACTAAAGTGGCCAAAAACCCTGCACTCAGAACTCTGTCAAAATTAATTTTAAACAGCTTTTGGGGAAAGTTTGGGGAAAAGACTCTTCGTTCGAAAACTGAACTTATCTATGATTATGCTGACCTCATGAAACTAGTGACAGACCCTACTAAAGAAGTGACTGCCCTCCTTCCCTTAAGTGAAGACTGTCTTCAGGTAACTTATAAACCTGTAGAAGACAGCGAGGTAACACTTCCTACTTCTTCCCTCTTGCATGCAGCTTACACAACGTGTATTGGTCGACTCAATTTGTACAAGTACTTGGACATCGTTGGACAGCGCGCCTACTACCACGATACAGATTCTGCGGCTTACCTGAGTCGTCCAGGCGAGCCTGACCTGCCCCTGGGCACACATCTGGGTGATCTCACTGACCAGATTGCGGAGGACTATGGTCCGGGTTCGTTTATCACAGAATTCGTGGCTGGCGGACCAAAAAATTATGCTTACAAGGTGGCAGTGGGAGGTGACGTTTCTAACCTCAAAGTGTGCATTAAGGTGAGGGGAATAAGCATTAACCAATCCTGTGAGGATCTCGTCACTTTTGACAACGTAAAAGCAATGGTGTTAGGTGAGGAAGAAAAGAAGACTATCCCCATTCACCGTCAGATTACCAGACTACCTGGCTGGAAGATTGTCACCAGAGCTACCAGCAAAAACTGGCAAGCTAAAAATACTAAAAGGCGGCGCCTTGACTTTGCCCACACAGTTCCACACGGCTTCAACGCATGGGCTGACGTGGAAGATGAGGATCAAGAAATGATGGAGGTTCTTGATCTTCTTGGTGACAATTAAATATAAAACTAATCATGAAAAACAAAAAAAATAAGATTGATTTACAAAGTCTGATGGACCAGCGTGTCCTTAAACCGCGCTAAATCTACGAGACACCGGCTGCAGGGGAGATGGCTGGTCAGGCCCCATAACCTAAAAAAATACTTTCATTTTGCCCTAAACTTAACTTCTTGATCAACGAGAGCGTGAGGATGGACGTCCAAGGCTGTCCTCGGCCAAGACGGTCCGCCTCTTGGCGTGCTTTTGGATGACCTCGATGGCGGTCGCTATTGTCAACGCTTTTCAGCCAAGGGAGGAAAGGTCGCTTGGAATGGTTCAGGGTGAATGCGGTGTCGAGTCCTATAAAAGACAATTCATTTTAATTTTCAATTCATAGCATAATGACTTCTGAAATGGATCTGAAGTATCAACATCCTTGCACTGCCCTCATTGTGGGTGGTACTGGGGCGGGAAAGAAATTTTTCATGAAAAAACTGATTGAAAACAGAGAAAATATGTTTGACACTGTCTTTGAAAAGATCATATTTTATTATTCTGAATGGCAACCACTCTACGAAGAGTTGTCTTCATGTGTCGATTTTCGACAAGAATTACCTTTCATGAGTGATCACCCGACAGGCGAGGGCCCAAAATTAGTGATTATTGATGATTTTTTGGAAGAAATTAAGTCTCATGGAAAAGAACTCCTTAAATTTTTCATAAAGGGGTCACATCATAGGAATCTATCTATTTTCTTTTTGAGCCAATCCCTGTTTCCTGATGGGCTCAGACAAATAAGTTTGAACTCCCACTACATTACATTATTTAAAACTTCGCGAGACTTAGCCCAAATTAGAACATTTTGCTTGCAAGTGGACCCCCTACACTGGAAAGCCCTTCTTGAAGCGTACCAAGACGCAGCACAGGCCGGTTATTCTTACATTCTGTTCGATTTTCATCCCCGTCAATTGGATCACCTCAGAATCAGAACCAAGATTTTTCCTGACGAGTCCTGTGTCATTTACATCCCCAAAGCAAAGTATAAAAGAGACCTACAAGGGATGGTTTAATCATTGCTAAATAATGGCTCCTAGTGTGCAGTCACATCGTGCTGTCCTGCAAGTCCTTCAGTCGGCCAAACCTAACCTCCGTAAAGCGATTCTGCGTGAATCAGATAAAGCGATCATTTTCGCTATTTGTGAGATCATTGACAATCTACTTCTTGGGAACATACCCCTCAGTCCGGCACAAAAGTCCAAACTCAAGCGGTACCCAGACGAAAGCTGTTACAGACTTTTCTCTGTTGCAACTCCGTTGTAAGTGCGTAGAAACTGCGTTATGCCGACTTCAACGCAGTTACAACGGAGTTGCACGGGGTTGCCACGACCTATTCTCCGTTTTAATTGCGTTACCGAAACAGAGTTTCAACGCGCTTTACTGAGGTGTACGGTAACGGAGTTGTAACAGGCTTTTACTGGTCTATTCCCCGTTTCAACTGCGTTGCCGAAACAGAGTTTCAACGCGCTTTACTGAGGTGTACGGTAACGGAGTTGCAACAGGCTTTTACTGGTCTATTCCCCGTTTCAACTGCGTTGCCGAAACAGAGTTTCAACGCGCTTTACTGAGGTGCGGAGTAACGGAGTTGCAACAGGCTTTTACTGGGCTATTCCCCGTTTAAAGTGCGTTGCCGAAACAGAGTTTCAACGTGCTTTTCTGAGGTGTGGAATAACGGAGTTGCAACGGGCTTGTACAGGACTATACCTCGTCTGAACTGCGTTACTGAAACAGAGTTTCAACGCACTTTACCGAGGTGCGGAGTAACGGTGTTGCAACTGACTTTCAGTAAGATATTTCCAGTTTCAACTGCGTTACCGATACAGAGTTTGAACACACTTTTCCGAGGTCTTGGGTAACGCAGTTTGAACTGACTCTGACAGGGTTTTACTTCGGCATTTGGCTCTACGACTCTGCCGCTATAACACGTGTCTGAGGAGATTGAAAGGTAGCGGGATATCAGGTGAAAGGGTGCAGCACAGCGCGAGAGTAGCAGCGCGATGCAGGCAGCACGGAGACAAGTCGACAGCAGCCGCCTCAATGAGCCCAATAATTGTTGCCGATTTACGTGTAAATACGTATAGACTGGGTGGGTACCTCCGCGTATACCTTGCCTCCCTCCTCCCCACCCCGCGCCTTCCAACGAAAGCCGACCGGTCCGCCCGTCCTCTTTTGTCCCACGTGGTGGACGCGGGAGCGAGGAATACATCAGGGCTCTGACCGGCGGCAGGGAAGGGGGCAGGGGAGGTTGACTTGTGGAGAAGCCCGATCTTCCACGTGAGTGCGAGAGAGAACAAGGATTTGTGACGCATGATGTCTTTGTTTTTCTCCCGCGCGTTTTGCCTATTGCCTTTCTCAGGATAAGGAAGTGCCCTTGCGTATCAACGGCTGGATCGAGCTAATCTCATCTATTCGACCAACGCGTAGCCCAAAGCAAATAAACCATAAATCATTTGCAAAAAAGGCATATACTTCGAATTGCGTAAAATATAGGTTCTTTACTTCACTGTGTGTCTTTTAGACAACTGAGACACGCTGACTTATCAAAATCGCACTGCAAAAAAGTATCTTGCTACAAGACGAGCATGGTCTTTGAGAATATTCGGCACAGCTGAACAAAACCGAGTGCAAGCGCGCGCCAAGCCGGTGCCGCGTCATGCCATTTCCGCGCCGCCCGGCCGGACCGCCGCCCGGACCCCCGCCCTCGCCTCCCCTGGCGCGCCCCCTCCTCCCTGCCGCGCCGTGCCGTGCCGCGCCGCTCCATTCCAGCCGCCCGGCCACGCAGCCTCAGAGTCGTCGGCTGGCTGAGGCTCCGTCCCCCGTGCTCACTTGTGGCACAGTCGGCAGCATCGCAGACCAGCAAGTCGGAGGCCCAGGGTTCTACTACTAACCAAAGTCCTTGTTTCAGATCTCGCAGTGTGTGTGTGTGTGTGTGTGTGTGTATACCTGTGTGTTGGTGTGTGTGTGTAATTCAATACTTCCTTTCAAGCGAACAAAGAACTCCGTTGTAACCTCGTTGCAAGGCATCTGACCCTCTCCGCCACTAACAATCTTTTGCTGCTCTAAAACCACGTTGAAACCGCGTTGAAACACCGTTGTAACAGAGTTGCCCGTCTCAGGCAGAAACGCAGTAGCAACAGGGTTGCAACACTGTTCCAACGGACTATTCCGCGTTTCTTCAACGCGGTTGAAACGTAGTTTGATAGGAGTTACAACGGGGTTGCAACGCGCTTTCTGTCCAATAATTATGAGTTTCAACGCAGTATTCTCGTGAAACATACGATGTTGCAACTAAGTTTTAACAAGGAATACTGCGTTGCTGCAACGCACTTACAACGAGGTAGAAAACGTCTGGGTACCGCACGGACTTTCGCCGTTTAGTACAAAAGGGTGAGGGCTGGAAAGCCAAGAAAGAACATCTTGTTCAGAAAGGGGGGGGCCTTCCTTCCCTTGTTACTTTCGATTGTTGCTTCCGTACTCCCTAGCCTTTTCAAATGAATCACGTGAAAAAAATGATTCTCGTGCCACATGACAGTGTGGCGCGAATGAATGACCCCACTCCCTCTGTCTCCCATACTCAAATGAGTTCAATGGACACGGAAATGAACTATATTTTACGCAAACAGTACGAAATGACTTGAAAAATGGAAAAAATACAATGAGGTGCTTCAACGCTTCCTCCACTTTTCCAAAGAGTCCAGCAAACCCATCTCTTTGGGAAAATATCTTCTATTCTTGAAGACAAAGGGGAAAAAAGAGAATCCTAACCCTACTTCGGCTATCAGGCAGCAATTAGCTTCCGTGCTCCCCAAAACATATAAAGACCAAGCTGTTAAAATTCATGATTATTTAGCAGTCAGTGGTTCACCCGTCAGTTGGGATAACAACGGAGTCGTCTCTCTCAAGGGAACCGCTATTCCACATTCTAATATTATTGATTTGATTTCTGATCTGACTCGTTTTCGAAAAAATTTTTGAGCCACACGGCGTTACTCAGTTCATTCAAACCCTCCCCCAAATTTAAAACCCTTCCTCTTGACTTGATTGGTAACGAAAAGAGAAGAACAGCTATTCTTCAAGCCAAACAGAGTGGTGGTAGTCCTTTTGTCACTCAACCTCCTTTAAAAAAAAAACCCAAAAAAAAAGAAATAAAAACTATAAAAGTTGTTCCCCAAAAAAAGCATGCCTGGAAAACTTGGTGATTTTTTCCATGATCCAAAGCACCCTGCTTCGTATAGTTCAGCATGGAAACTTTGGCAAGCCAGGGGAAAAAAGAAAGAGAAAGTAGATCAGTATCTTCAGGGGGAAGATGCCTACACACTGCACAGACCTGTGAGACGGAATTTCCTTCGTAATGTCACTTATGCAGATAATATGATGAATCCTGGCAAACTGATTTGACAGACTTAACGGCTCTGAAACAAGATAATGAAGGACACACATTTGTATTATGTGTAATTGACGTGTTTTCAAAATTTGGATGGGCTATTCCTCTTAAAAAAAATCAGGTGCATCCATAGTCAAAGGTTTTGAAACTTTTTTCCCCAAACCACTCCGCGGCGCCCAGTGCGCCTTTTCTCGGACAAAGGAACGGAATACAAAAATAAGATTGTGCAGCAGTTTCTTAAAAAACCCCAGCATCACATATTTTTCCACGAATAACCCTGACACTAAATGTGCCGTAGTAGAGCGTTGGCAGAAAACAATTAAATAAAAATTGTACAGATATTTCACTGCAACTAAAAATTATTGCTATGTGAATGGTCCCTGGAAAAAGTAGTGCATGCCTATAATCACACGTATCATAGATCTATCAACATGAGGCCTGTGGATGTGACCGAAGAAAAAGTACTGGAGGTATATAATAACCTGTACCATGGAATGAAACTCACAAACAAAAAAACGAAGTTTAAGGTAGGTGACTATGTCAGGATCACCCGAGAGAAAAAAAAGTTCGAGAAAGGATA